GTAAATGTTGAGAACAGATAAACAACGTAATACAATTACAATAACAAAGTCCAGGACCAATAAAAAACAGTTTTAAACAGTGAAAGGTTGATAACTGTTGGAGAGTTAAGTGGCACGTTATCAACGTCGACGTGGTCATGCCGCCGCTACTATGTTTATTTTAAACTAGCCGCCGCACCGCACCGCACCGCACCGCGCCTTGCTGTTTGTTTGTTTATCAGAAAGGCCATGGCATTGTTGCAGCCGTCTGATTCAGTCTGCTCTCGGCGCGCGTCCCCAAACTTCCTCTCCATAACTAGATCTCACTTCCGTACAACTCCAATTCATTAATTCTCTTTCTCAATTATTTCTATCCAACCAACTGTAATATTTTCTAAACAAAAATACCAAAAAACTAATTACAATAAAAATGTTGGACTATCTTTTGTGGTAGTCAATTATACGCAGTCCCTCATTGATAAATTAATATGATATCATTTTCAAAGACATAACCTATTTGATGAATGTAAATGTCGCGTTCGTATAACAGGCTAAATTGTATAAATCTCAAATTAAAAAAACATGTGCCTCGTAAAGAAATTAAATAATAAAGAATGTGGTGTTGATGTTTGCGTGAACATTGGGAGATTCGCACGCGGGCGGGGGGGCGGCGGGCGAGTCGAGGGGCGATGCTATAAAATATAGCAGGCGAGGCGTGCGGCGCGGTGGCGAGGGCGCGGGTGCGCGCGCGACCGCTTCCATATATGAAATTGAATGGGTCGTCGCACGAGGCTTGCACAGTAATGTGGCGCTAGCGGGCTAGCGGGCGGCAGTGGGCCCGCGACGCGACCGAGCCTCGCTCGTTCCGCGCTTCACCGCTCCACTGCACCATCACACGCAGCTCGCAGCTCGCCTGCGGCATCTTCATGGTGACCACCACTCCCATGGACCGCTGTCGTGGTAAGCTCGTATCATGCCCCTGTACCCCATTTCTCTCGTCGCCGCGCCGTTTAGGTGCATGCACCCTGCCTGACAATACCATCCTCTACATGATAACAGTTATTTATAATAATTACGACGCGATATCGAACTTCACTGTTGATTGTTATTAAAAATATGTGTTTTCGTGACAAATATAACATCACTAGGAGAATGCGTAATTTCTAAGCAGGTCTGTAAATTACTGTTTCCCATTTGGCCGATCGATCCATTGGGATTTTTTGCCGTTTGATCTGTAGGACGATAGGCCAATTACTATGATAAGGATTACTATCATTTAACCATTTGTACAATACCAAGTATAATAACGTCCTTTACATTATTATGTTCCCGTATTGTATTCCCCACTGTATTACACGAACATCGTCATTTATAATATTGCAGCAAATGTTTACATGCGACTGCAATATAAATGTGCAACGTAGGTGTCGGGAATGTCGGCGGAAGCTGTGCAGCACTATGTTGTCGCAAGCGACGCAGGAACGACACACGTACACTTGTGGACGACAAATCATTAAATGTGTTGAATGTATGTGTCGAAGATGTAAGCGACCATGTTTACAATGCCTGTGAATAAATATTGATGCGACGCGCCGAGTAAACATTGTACAATGTATCGGCTCGAGTTGCGAATCAGTCTCCCACAACACAACACAAGAGATAGAACGAACCAAGCACACAGGTTTCACAATGCGCGCCACGTGTACAGCTATCCCGGCGCGATTCCCAGCTTTGATACACATATTATTTTAATCCGCAGCTATGTGTGTCATAATATATTATACGACTATTTTAAAGGTGTATCCGTATAGTAGTGAAAAATGTTTATTGTTAATCCACTTAAAGATCCACTAACTTAAAGTACTACCTCTTATAGAACTTTGCTCTTTTCACCTTATGTGGCTCTCTCTAACCAGTTGGACTAAAGGACCGACACAAAAGGCAATTATTTAGGAAACCGTGCGTAATGTTCCATAAGTTCCTTTCTCTGCGGCCCCGACCACTGCTTGCTTGAGTCAGACGCTGCATGAAATGCCTTTATTTTTATAATTTAATTTAGCACTCTATTTCACTGACCTCCTTTTTATTATTATTAAATTTGATATATAATTATTTTCGCACTTGCTCTGTACTATTTTATATTTACGCCACAGTTGTGAGTCTGTGGCTGTCTTCCTTAGAAACACCTATACAAGATTATCATTCGCCTGATTCATTTTAATAAATATATACAGGAATAATATCTTTACGGGTGCTTCGTCAGCACGACGACCACGCCATCAAAATCAAAGCACCGCAACGATTCAAATGCACTTACAATGTCGACCTTTACCTAATTTTTCCTAATTCGATAGGAAGCCGCTACGGTACTGGCAATGTCTCGTAGAGGGTGCAAACATTGCTTGTTATATTGGAACAACATTCACTGTACTTTCATGAACTGTTGAAAAACATTTTATTTTCAAAGAGGCTAATCTTACAATTGCAAACAAGTCGCTTATAATCACAGTAAAGTTCTCGCTTTTTGATGTGCAATGTGCTGCTCGCTCGGAAACCATCACTGGCATTTGCACTGGAACCGGCACGTAGTTATTTAATTAATTTTTTAAATATTTCGATATCGAGCGCGAGTCGGAAATGCCTCGTAGCAATGGCGGCGTCAATAAATTATTTATTAAAAATTCTTTTAGCGCGCTCGGTCTTATACTCGTATGTAATACGCGGCTTTGTATAAGTAAATATAATCTCAATATATATATATATATAGATTCTTTATTCAGTTTGACTTTATTTTGTTTCATTATTATTAATTACTTAGTAGTATTTACTTTAACTCTCAAAATGTAATTTTTTTTCAATTGTAATTTGAATTGTGAAAATTATATTTTGGGAGAAGAGGAATAAGCTACCGAAGATATGAAGAAGTATAAAATAGATGAGTAGGTATAGGTGGCGGCTCACGGGTCGCGGCTTGCACCGGCCACCGTGGCTTGGTGCGTGCCACACACTCGTATTGTATACATTGCATGCGGCATCTCATTGCAGCACATACCCCGAGTGACGTCATATTTGTTTACATATAATTTTGATCCATATTGCTGCGAGGAAATATATTACGATACGAGGAAATAATTGGGCTAGGCGCCAAGCTGGTTGGCACGTATTCCAATGTGTTAGAAATAGAATAGAGTTAGAGTGATAAGCACTTTCATCACCTTTTGTTGACCGTGTTACGCTAATGCCCTTATTGAATCATTTTACTTTGACCGCCTGAAAACAAGAAATTGTTTTTAGGTGGTCAAAGTAAAATGCTTTTTCTGTAACTTTATTAACAAGTAACAGCCAATAGAGATGAACTGTTGTTTGATACCAAAAATGTTAACAAACCGACACATTCGGGGCTTAGGACAAGTATTTTGGTATATTAAGGCAAAATTTCTGTGGGATGTTTTGGCTTTTATTTTATTACTGCGAAAAATCGTAAGTACTTCTGGCAGTGGTAACATTAGTTGTTTATACTCAATGATTCAAAATCTACAGATGCCACACTTTTAACAAACTTTTAATTAGAGTCACGTGTCTCGTTTGTCATCAAATCTTGCAAATAACATGGTGCTATTTGAAGGTCATAAGGTCTTCGCAATCAAACGATACATCATCATCGAGATTGGGCTTATCTTGGCGACCTTTTTTAATTTGTTTTAATTCTTTTAAAAACGAGTAAATAACAATAGTTTGTAACCCAACATGACTTATATACTTGTAACGATAAAATATTAGGGTTTTTATAACTCAATTCAATCGCTCAAATTAAAATTTAATAATATATCCACATTATAATATACGCTATGTGTTATAAAGTAATTAAATGATTAACATATTTACAATTTTTGTAATGATAATTTAATTGGAGTGCAACTCGCTGACAATGCACAGAGAAAATGCATCGGCGCGGCGGCGGAGAGGCACTATATAGAGCGCCCGAGCTGAGTTAATAAATCACTCAGCTATTAGCTTGTTACACTCGTTATTATTTGTACTTCTCTTGGTCCACATTTTGGCACACCTAAGGTCCTCCGTTATGGAGGTAATCTCGAGATAAAATCTTTTACCTATTTACCAATAATTTTTCATCGGTATATTGACCCTTTGAAAGCCTAGCGAATACTGCATCTCCTTGTCTCGTATGCAAAAAACGTATGGCTTGCAACACTATATCGATATGACCAAAATGTAACATTGATACTATGATTTTTTAATACACTGTACTGCACACACTCATTCCTGTAATAGAAGGTAGTTTTTTTATATAATACTAAGGCATGGTACCATAAGGTGGCAAACAAACAAGTGGCCATGTGAATTTGCCGAAATAGACTGCAGACTGCTGCGTACTGTGAGATTGACGCGTCACAAGTAGACACGGCAATGTTGCTCTGGCAACAGCCGCACCGGCCGCGGCGAGTGGCGAGGTCCGACCGCATTGGTGGATTTGTATCTATTTCTAGGTGACGGCGACGGCACGAAACGCTCATCGACGAGTGCATGTGATTGCATTCTGTGTCGCTGGGTGACGCGGAGCGCTGTCCAATCTATCGCTCCCTAGTCGCTCCCCCATTGCGTTTTATCTCCAAAGCGATTGACGTATCCTCGCACCGTGTACTTAATAAAATAATGATGACACTTTATCGTGGTCTATTTTCTCGTGATTGGATTCGCACAACCGAATCTCAGCCGTATGTGTAGAGACGGCGCGGTCTCTTCTAGTAGTACTCTTCCTCTTCGCGACGAGTAAATAGTACACTTGATTTGAGGTTGCGCTAAAACAACAAACAATACCTTAGCTACAGTTACAACGACACCTTTAGCTGTCGTGAAATATTACGATTACTTGTACATGTTCCCATGTACTCTGCTGCTTCATCTGCTGAATTCTCGAAAGTATACAATTATTTTGTACTTGCAAGTTGCATGCACTTTCAATCATTATTAGTTTATAGTAATAACAAATATTGTTTCAGACGCATCGAGCGATGCGACGGGCTCTGTGAGCGCAGCCAGCCCCGGCAAGCGACGTGGCTTCAGTGGGTGAGTGTTGCCTATCTCCTAAACACTTCCATCAGGATACTAAGCAAATTGTAATCCGTAAAAGTACAACATCTGGAGCGCGTATAAATTATTGTAATTTTTTAATCTGTTTACAAAATTGTTTATCATTTATAACGGTGTAGTGGTGAAAGCGTCGTGTGAGTGACGTTAGTGGTGTATTCAACACACGTAATGTCGCTAACGTCGCGTCGCTTTTGGAAAACTTCGGAGCGAGCCGCTTATCAGTTCCCTTATAACTTGTCTTATCTAATCACCACTATTGTTGAACAGCGCACAATATGCCACTTCTATCGTTCGAGACATAGCTGTTATCTAGATTATTTTAAAAGAATATCGCGAACTCGATTATATTTCTCGAGTATAAGCGACGTCTGCGAGTAGAGGAAGGATGAAGGTGCGCGCCAGCCAGCGCACGGAGTGTTCGCCGCCTGCCCTTCCTGTACATTATAAAATAATCGTGGAACTGAAATACGTGTATGCGTTTAATCGCGCTCCTTGGTCGTGCCGTCGATAAGGCCGTTTGTGTTCATCTATTTGCGAGTGACGCGCTGGCTCGTTGGCTCGTTGAACGCTTTAAATACGAATTGTACGCGTTCTTGTGAAATGTCTATGTTTAATCAAGTAGTGTTCACAAAGTAAGTTACGGTGCCGTGTGTGTGTGCTTAGTTATTCCGACAGGTTGCAGTCGTTATTGCTGTTGCTGATGCAACACAATCTAACTTAGATTGTGTTTCCATGTTACGTCTAACTCTACGCCTTGGAGACTTAATTACACAACTTGGAAGCATATTTACCCTTCCGGCTGTACATAAGTAAAGGGTTTCAACAAATTGTTGTATATTATGTAAACATAAATCAAAGTATACATGTAGCTGCGTCGAATGGTGCCACAAAACGTACCTCACGTGCCCTAACCGCATCACTAGCCACAGGCACCTCACGTGCGCCACTCGCCTCACCTGCCACACGGACCTCACGCGCCCCTCGCGCCTCACCCGCCACACGTGCCTCACGTGCTTGACGCAAACTTCTTTCGAATGCCCTGCAATATTGTTCAAGAACTTTTCACAAAGTAGTTAAGGAAAAATTATGTCGTGTACTTTCACGTCTACATAAGTCTATATTCATCACAAATTTACACCGTGCTAATATTGTTGTTATTAGTGGAAAATCTCGTGACGTAACAGAAATATCTAGTTAAGAGTAGAAATACGAGTAGTTAGTTAGTTAGTTGTTTCTAAGAGATATTGGTTTCTTTTGCTCGGCCCACTGTTTGGAAGAACCGTTTAAATATTAGGTATTATTATCTGCGAGATCTGTTGAGATATAACATGTAGTCCGATTACTTAGGACACGGAAGCGTTTCATGGAGACGTCACATCAACATCTTTGTTGCCTCCTATTTCGAAGGGATGTTGGAAGCAGCGATCAACACATCATCTAATGTCGTTCGATAAATACTCAATCAGGTGTTATATAATATAAGAAAGAAAACATGGGTTATATGTAGCGGTACAGGGTATTTTTATGTACATTTTTCATTTCTGGAATACTTTGTATGCTGCGGGCAAGAAACTCGCGATGGCGAGAGCGAGAGCGGGGGGAGGGGGGGGGGGGCGGAGGGACGCCGAAGAGACGACGAATGAAAATTGATAAATAAAGAATTTATATTTAAAGTAATATAGCTTCCGAATAGAATTGATTCCAGTTTACTTCTTAATATATCCAAAACGTAATAAACTTGTTTCGATACACATTCTAGTATTGTTGTGATTTTTATTAAACTTTGTACCGACCATGTAACATAAAAGATTACAAGTGGAGACTTTATGTAGTATGTACTTAGGTAACGTATCGTCGCCTCTATCTACGGATAAACCAAGATTTAAATCGTATACATTGTGCCTATTGCTTCTTAGTTAATTATTTGGATAAACATAATATTAAGGCAAAAATATTTCTGTTCAACGTGTGTTTAGCTTTCTCACAACAATATTAACGGCCGTCCCGCTGATAGTTGCGAACAGTTGGCGGGGCTGCGGCGTCTTGTGGCGCCGAATGGCGGACAATCCCAGGGATGTGGTTGAGGTGTCTTGTTACAAAACTATCGGATGCCGCGACTCCGCGGTGCCTTCGGACCGTTAGCGGTCGGCAATACGAAACCCGTGAATGCCTAAACTTTCAATTTAAACTAATTATATTGGTTTATGTATAAAACATTTGTCTGCCAATAGACCAAATCTGTTAATCTGTATATTAGTCTCTTTAGTTAATTTACTTATATTAAATATCGACTTGATGAATTTCGTTGTTTAAAGTCGATGTATTTGGCAGACGGCGATGGTTGGGGCTCAAAGGAAAACAGTCACAGGGCAAAGCCGACAAAACATCGTCCGGCGGCCAAACACCCGCCCCCACGGACAAGCCCACACCACTGAAGAAAACACCGTCCGATAAGAAACTCCGTGTAAGTTTTCGTGCATATTAATTTATTTGTGATATAACGAAATGTTTGTGGCAATGTACAAAGCACCTACCTACACGTACTATGTGAGATATAGATGTTTATGCGTTGTGCACAGCTGCCGTACACGAGCGGCGAGGGTCGCGAGGAGCAGGGCAGCAGCAGCGCCGCGCTCGACGAGGGCGAGGACGATGTGCCCGAGCTGGAGCTACCGCCGCCCATGAAACCCATACAGGTATCGCAACCACTCTCACATTTACTGAAAATAAAAATGAAATGTCCTTAGAAGGCTGTTGTACGTCATCTATTTAAATGTACAAACAGCAAATGACAATGTATTATAATATTGGGTTAGGTTAGGGTCACAAACTACTGAACCGTTTTCAAATATTCTTGGGAAAGTGTTGGGAAGCTGCACTAATCTCAGGTGACATAACATATATTCATTACTAGGTTTTATTAATTCGGAAAACATAGAGGGCACAAATTAGGTATTGTTTGATGGCAGTGGCTGTATATTGTGTGGTTGTGCAGGACCCCCAGGCGGTGCTGCAGCAGGCGCCCACGCCGGCCACCGCTGCGCCCGCCACACGCGTTAGTATACTACCTTATTGCTCTATTGCTCCTACCTCCTCCCTCCTCCTACATCCACCTTCTTGTCACTAACCGGGTGCTCTGGTTCTTTAGATACTTGGGTAACTTTTTCAGAACTCCCTGGCTATGGATTCTCTGGATTCCAACGCGGGTCCGGCTGATATCGCAGAAATTGAACAAATTGTGAAAGAAAAAATGGTTCGATTAAAATTAATACATGTAGTGTGTTTGCACGACTTTCCTTTGTAAAGCTTTTACTGTCCATGAACCGGTCGGCGGGAACACACATACAACCACTTGTATATACACTACTTGCAATATATGCATTCAAATTTATATATCTACTTCTACCTACTCATTATTTTGTTAACATAAACCAATTTTATTCCCGATCACCGATTCTCGGCTAACGGACAGTGAAGCTTAAACGTTATCGCCTCAAAAATCCTTGCGGTTTTTTTGTTCAATAATTAGGTTTGTTTTTTATGTTGCGTGGAATATTGTGTACTTACTTAAACTATTTAGTTAGAGATCGTTTCATTGGAACATGTCACTAGATTGAACATTGTGATATTTGTTGAAAATATTTTTTTATATTATAATTGTATTATATTTTGTAGAATGCATTTTTATCTATGCTTGCTTGTTTTTTGCTTAGTCCTTTAAGTCTTGCGCTTAATTTATAAATGTCACTTCCACAGTGAGAAGTAATATTTAATATGAACAAGCAATATTCACTAGGCTCCTGTTTTAGTAAACAACTAATGAGTTTCATTGCTGCCGTCTGAGATATTTTCTTAATTTTGTATACTCGCTTAATAAGTTTGAAATTTTTCTTGACTTTTTTCATTATATTTGTTCTTTATCTATAAAATGTTGGAAATCAAAGTCCGCGTATACATATTCAACTGTACAGGAACAGCACGGTGGTGGATGTTTGGCGGGTGCGCACGTGGCGCCCGGCGTGGCAGAAGACGACCCCCCGCCCACGCCCCCCACACCGGGGCCCGACGACGTCGAGGCAATACTGAAGAAGCGCGACTACGTTCTGCGCGAGCTCGTCGACACCGAGGAGATCTACGTGTCCGACCTTCGACTCATCTGCGAAGGATATATCCGTCACATGGCGGTCAGTGTCTGAGAACTACTCTTGCATGAGAAAAACTTTCCCATATTTTCTGCATACTATATGTATATGTATTTGTATTACTTTATTTTATAAAATACTTGCCATAAATAATATTTTTGAATGTGGCCCACAGGACCCTACCGCGGAACCAGCGTTGCCTGAAAGCCTTCGCGACCGGCGCCATCGCATGATCTTTGGAAACATCGAGGCCATTTTCGAATGGCACCGCGAGTGAGTAACTCTTCTCTTATGTTTGATGTCTGTACGGGCGTGGGTGACGTGACACCGTACTACCTGGAACTACTATCGTCGCTCTACGCATCATTATTATAATTTGAATTTGAAGCGAATTTATTATGCCCGCTCTGCTTCCTGCGACTTCCCAAATTAATATTTTACTTGCGATTAAACATTAGTGAGTAGTGGCGCCGCGTTGTACTCGGTGGGAGGAGGCGATTCATTATGTGATTTTGTTCTGTGCAGTAAATTTTATCGCGAGTTGCTTGTCTGCGTCGAGAAGCCGGAGCTGCTGGGGCCGCTGTTCCGCCGCTTCCTGGAGAAGCGCATGTTCCTATACGAGGCGTATTGCCGTAACAAACCCGTCTCCGAGTACATCGTGTCCGAGCACGACCAGTACTTCCAGGAGCTCAGACAGAAGCTAAATCACAAGCTGCAGGTGCGGACCTTTCAAACTCGTACTAATATACATACGTGTGCGTGTACGTGTGCGTGGATCTGTGTGCTCACAATATTTTAAGTACGCAAAGAGGAGGCAGATGTACATATAAATTTATAAGCAGGTCGAAAGCGATAAATTCTATTATCGTTTGTGATTGTGCGCCATTAAAAGGCCACTGGAATTTGATTTAGTGCCTTTTCAAAATGTACATTTTCTTTTATTACGAGTTCTTTAGCTTTCTCGATCAATGTCTCGACGTTATCAAATTAAAATTGCTCAATTATTTAAAACCATTAAACGAACTGTTTTCTTATGTCAATTATTAGCGATGTTCGGACCGAAAGTACATAACATAGCAATCGTTGTATACATACCTTATCTAGATAGATCACCAACGTGACAGATGATATGACTATGTGATGTGTGATGGCGTTGCCTTTCATTGAGCACTAATTTAGTTGCTATTTCTCATACTTTTCAATGTAACACGATGTAATATAATGATGAAAATATCTCACTTGTATACAGAGTGACACATTAACCTTATATTCGTAATTGCACTTTACATCAAGCCATATTTTCGCTTTATGTTGCCGCTCGCTTGGGTGACACATTGGTGGGGTTCTAGGTTCAGCTTAGACAACGAAACCACCTGCCTGGCGCTCGCTTGAGCCTCAACCAGGTATTAGTATCGTTCCATAGGCCGGATCACATTGCGACAATGCTGGTACTAAATTTTAATCAAACTAATTATCAACAATTTGTAGTGGCGTGGATATACCAAATGTCGATAACAAACTTTTACGCAAATGGTATTGTTATATTCAATTGGCAAGGAATTACCAGAAGTGAAATGTGCTCGGCCTTTTATATTACATACTCGTTACGAATGTTGCGCGCCACTCACATGCCAACAGCCCGGTGCGTGGCGGGCGGCATGGCGCTTCTCTTACCGCCGCCTTGGTGCGGATGTATCCATCAATCCATGTATACTCCGCTACTCCTCACACCTCCACTACCTTTCACTAAAACACTTTAAATTCACATGTTGCTCAAACACAGCTTGAATGTTTTTAAAGTGTTTTAATATCTTCCTTTCTTGTTCCAATACTCACCTTGCATGGTAAACCTGTAGATTCGCAGAAGCCACACATTTACAGACAAACAATTCCTTTAATTTCTTATATTCATTTTGGGGGCGTTTATTTCGGTTTGTTAATTTTTTCACTAACACTCGAAATACACTGCACTATGATAAACACATCGCCGATCATTGTTGTGGCTTTGAGGTGTTGGCATGCGCGCCGTGTGCTCGCCCGGTATGCCAATGGGCTCGGACTTTACACAGTGCCCTTTCACTTTCAGCTGGGCGACCTCCTGATCAAGCCCATCCAACGCATACAAAAGTATCATCTCCTCGTCAAGAAAATCCTGGCGTACACACAGAGCGCCAACCAGCCGCCGGAGGTGGTGGCCGCAATAGAGGATGCGGTCCTGTGCACATCCATCATACCTAAAAACGCCAACGACATGATGGACGTCGGCCGCTTACAAGGATTCACGGTAACATTCCCTTTTACTTTAGTGGACACAATTCATTTTAATAATTTCCAACTTTACTTTCACTTTCTCGCCAATATTCGTGTAAGGCCCTGACGAGAGAGCCGCTGCTGTCGCGTTTAGTTCCTACAGAAAATATGTAAAAACATAGCCAGAAAAATGTCATAATGAAATAACATAGCAAGTTCAATGGCAATTTCAATAGGTAAAGAGTGTTGTGGCGCTAGTGAGCCGTCATTTAGCCCACGTAGCTTACTAGATGTCCATGTCTCGGTGTTATACTGAGGTGTAACAGTGGACCTAGCACGAATACTTGCGACAAGGGTCATCGTCTTGTCATACATAAAATTTGTCCAGCGTAAAGTACATCAACATATACTAATTTTGACGAGTTTGACTATGACGTTACGATAGATACGACATAATATCCGCAGAAATGCACAAACATATTGAATTCTATTGATACATCATAAATATAAATATGGAAGTCAAAGTAGCTTCGCGTATATTTAATACTAATCAAATTATATTTAAATATATTTTTTGTGTTTTTGTGACCTAATTTTATTAACATTTTCTCCGCGAATTTAATTTTTTTATACATATAGAATAAAAACAAACAGAAAATAGTAAAAAAGCTGCAGCTCAAATTGCGAAAATGAATAAATAATATTGCGAGAAATGTTTTTTATGAGTGCTTTGTCACTTTGCTTTGCTTATAAAATGATAAGTCCAGCTCGCAAATTCTCATTGAAACGTAAACCTTTCCACCCAGAGATGGAGGTAGGCGATCAGTCCATCTGCCCCAAGCTTGTCATGTTATGTCAGCATTCGGTAGGACGCGGTTATGCGGCTTACGGGTTGACCCGGCATTGCGACATTCAATTCTATCTAACCGAACGCTTAATAAACCAGGATAGACCATATTTTAAGTGATACTGTCAAATGTAAGTATTACTTTAATAACTGATTTCATGTCAGTGTGCTGGCATGTGAAAAAAGTTGATTACCTTTATGAAATTTGATGTATAAAATATGATATTTGATGAATACTCATTGGGTGCTTTGCGTTGCGGCAAACGAATCGATACAAACTTAGCAAGCGAGTACGGCAACCTATATATTATGTGGATGGGGCGTGGGTAAAGGAAGACTAAGGTTTAGCAAATGGTAATGGAGCGGCGCACTGTTGCAGGGCAACATTACGGCGCAGGGTAAGCTGCTGATGCAGGACCATATGACGGTGTCGGAGGCGGGCGGCGGGGACAAGGGCAAGGAGCTGCACGTGTTCCTCTTTGAGCAGTGTGTCATATTCAGCGAGCCCGTCGGCAAGCGCAGTCAGTTCGTCAGCCCCACGTACAACTACAAGGCACATGTACAGGTATACACGATACATGCACAATCTCCTCCTCGCTCTCGCAAACTAAACTATACAAACTTAATAAACTAAAAAATACAAGTAAATTATTTTCATGATGTTTGACTTTGAATTTTTTTCTTGCTTTCGGGTTGGTACATTCCATATATTAATAAATTTATGCACTTATTGTTAAACCCTAACTTGGACTTGAGCTTTATATAAAAGTTTAATCGCAACTGATCAACTAAATAGAATAACCTGATAAATGTTGGGTAAAGGTGAACAAGATGGAGGTGGAAGAGTTGGAGAACAGCGGTGCTTTCATAATCCACTCTGTGGACCCGAACAAGCCGAAGCAGTCGTTTGTGTGCCGCGCGCCGGAGCCGCGGCGGGCGCAGTGGGCCTCCACGTTGGCCACCATCCTGCGCTCGCAACGCATGTTCGGCGAGGCGCTCGAGAACCCCGCCGCGTACCTGCGCGATCTGCACCGCGACCAGGCGCGCGATCCCGCCAAGTAAGTACCATGCCCTCCCATCTACTCCACTCCACTCCACTCCATTGCGTCACCTTCCCTAACTACACTAACAAAATGCCAAGTAACATCTATCTATGTATTATAATACGTAATACTGTATGTTATGAAGTGATTGTATCAAGATATTGTAGGTGTTGTGTAGCAGTCGCTCTCCCCCCACATGGCATAGCGTGCAGAGCGAGGGGTGCTCACTGCGCACGCACTCACGCACGCACGCACGCACACTATGATGTTATATTATTTGTATTGCAGGTTTACATTTGTACGTCAATAAAGACGCGCAGACTGAAGAGAATAGCAACAATAGCATCACGACTGTACAATAAATGTCGCCGCTTTCATTTTATTTCTTCAATGTGATTTTGTTTGTGATGATCTTTGCTCTGTGCGCTTGTTCTAACTTAACTAACCGATGTTATTGGCGACATTTCATATCAAAATTATCAGTAGATGTTAGTTAGAGACAAGTATTTTATCTGCATTGTTATTTTGTTCTGATTATAATAATAGTACATATTGTATCGTTACTAAATTAAAAGTGCACAATAATTGTATATGGTTTATACTTTGTTGGCAATTGTCAAACATTAAGCGAGAAGATATGTAGCATTATTTTGTCAATGGAATTGCCGATTACTTGTAATAAGTTATTTTATGGGATAAATAAGTAATTAAATGTAACAATACAATTTAGGCGGCGATGCGTAAGCGATGCGATTTAGTCAGCTCGGAGCCGACAATATTATATGTGTTAGCGACAGTGTTCTTCCTCATAACATATCGAGACAAAGTCATACAATTTGTGCACGCGCACTAAATAACGCGCAGTACTAAATAATGCAGTTATGCATTGTAATTCATTAAAAGGCATTATAATATAAAACACAAGGAATGTTTGTAATGTATGTATGTATATAAACATGAAAGTAATTGTGTTAATGTACACTATATATGTGTCAATGACACTCCGCCGAACGTGTAAGCAGTGTGTATGTGTGCTGTGCTACACACGAACACAAGCTGTCGTAGCGTCCGATAAACGTCTGCTAAACAGACGCTATCTCCGGAACCATATCAAGCATAATCAGTTTGATTGCACGTAAGCAGCGTTTATAAAATTATTATTAATATAAAAATCTAAATAGTAAACGATGTACTGCCAATTGCCTCCAGCAATTTTTGCCTTAATATTATAAATTAGTATTTTAATAATTTTTAGTGAGAGCAAGTCGGAATTGATAGTTTAGGCAACATTTATTAATTATACATATGTTCATGATTCCACCGATACGCAAAGAGGTGGTGGAGTCATACGCGTGTCTGCGGCAATTACAATTATCATGTGCTCTATACAACAATAATAACATTTTCGATGGAGGCGCTGTGGACGACGTATCTCCATCCCTCCATCCATGACATCCTACCTTTGCACGGTAAAAGATTCGAGCAATAATTTACAATAATATAGTTAGTTTAATTTCAATCATAAAAATAGAGTATAGACGTAGAAGTGTGTAAGGCAAAAGGATGGTTGTCCGCCCCGAGCCCCGACACGTGGCACCAGACGGACACCTAGTTTCCGCAATAACTCAACTCACTCTACAAACTTGTGGCATAACATTTACGTTTCTATATTTTGGTGACGTTTTTTCGTTTTTTGTCCGAATTCATTTTTTATTCCATTTCTCAGAGTTACCTGAGGCAAAAGGACGACACGATTTATTTGATGAAATCAGTGAAATCTTGTGTATATATATATCACAGCAGTGGAACTCTGCCGCTACAATGAAACTCACAAGATTTCACTGATTTCATCAAATAAATCGTGTCGTCCTTAGTCGTCACACTTGTGTAAAATCAATAATTACGATAACTCCACTTAAAGTAAACATTAATTTTTATATTCTAATTTACAAAATAAAATTGAACATACTTCTTATCATGAACAACATAACACATTATGGAAAATTAAATTGACAAGACAGAAAAAAATTATATAATTGTCCAAAGTAGTTGAGAGACATTGTAATGTACTTGAATGTCACATTGTTGGTGTTTAGAAATGAGACATAAGCGAGCGAGCGAGAGCGAGGCGGCTGACCTAGGTGCCGGATCTCACGTCGGCTTGCGCACGCACTACCGCACACTGCCACCTCTCAATCTCATATAAAAAGTAGCACGAGTGGGCCGGACAGCCGCCAACTAGTACTCCACTTTAAGAGCAGAGACAAGTTGGCAACGAAATATTATCCAGCTTTCTATAACAGCCGTCTGAATCTATCTATTTAATATGCTTTTTGGCTTTAAGATTACATTTTAAGCTAGTATTTATAATATAATTGTAATTATTATTCACTTATATATCTCAAAATACTCGTAAGATTTACAGCTTTTATTCGGCAGTATTTTAAATATTTACAATATAATAGACGTAGTTATTATATATAATGGAAATAAAGTTGTATGCAGGCATGTTGTCGATAGGACATCGAATTATCTACATAAGTTTAATCCAAGAAGAAAACGAAAAAGACTGGTCAGACAGCGGCGGAAGATGTCGTGACGTTTGTGAGCGAGTCCAGCTCTAAAAATATTGCATGTAGGCTAGTTTTGAATAATTGCAAATATTTAGACATTTACTTGATATTGAATTTAACGCAACGCTAGTATAGTTTGAGCCGATCTCCCCCAGATACAATACTGGATGTGCGCGCGCGCGTGTGTGTGTGTGTACACATCCTACCGGGATCTTAAGCTTTCACACTGATTTCATACGGATTGTATATAGTCGAATGTAAGTTTTTACTATAGAAGCTGTCGATACATATTAAATTAGTTTTACTTGTTTCCATTCATGATATTAAGACCGTACGTACGGTATATACGTAAGGTATGTTATAACCACGCTCTATGAATAGGTCAGAGCGCACCCGCTTCCTAGTTGTAATTTGATAAACAAACTTTGATTTAAGTCAGGATGTAGATAGATCCGCGGGGCCCGACCGCTGCCAGACCACCACTGATCCCCTTTGGCCCCCATCGCCTTCCCTCGCCTTCCCTCGCCTCCCAACCAAACCACATCGGTCGCTGCGGTCGAGCCGCGAAAGATCAGCTTAAGTCGAAGGAATATTTTACACAACTCGAAAAAGCCTCACACAGAGTAGTTGTAATATAGTTTTAAAATTCAGTGTTTGTCTTCATAATACAATAACCGACGTAGTGTTAAGTCCACATTCTTATATAAATATATATGTACTTTGTGCGTGCCTGCCCACTGTAATACATAATGCCGTATAGGAATACGGATTCCAGCTTGCAATTTATTTCATACACTGCCTAACCTTACTTACCCCTTGAGATAATAATAGCGCCAAAGTTATCATCAAACTGTATATTACTAACCTTTTGGTTTGGTTAACTAGACTAAGTACATATATGTGAGTAAATAACAACAAGAGCGAACTTTTTCTCTACGGCAAATGTTGATCTGTTAACTATTTACAATTCCTCAATAAGTACATATATCAAATGTAAGTAACTTTTGTCATAACATAATAATAATAATTTATATATTTAAGCACGCTTCTATGATTACCACTGCCTAAGGAAACAACAAAGAATTGATATAAAGCTGTAACACCTCAAAGTCGCACCGAATACTGTAATATTAAAGGAAATACGATACATCTTATATATCTTGTTTAATTAATACCTGCATTAAATGTTAAACAATTTAGAGTATTGCTCAGCTTTGCTATAATATAGATGTGGAATTCAATTGAAAAGTGCAAAAAATTGTTACAAGGGCGGGCAGCAATTCATCAATTGCGTAAGAATTAATTTCGCTATCCGCCGCTCCGTTAACCGCTAAACTCGAAATATCTAAAGGGTACATCACATTTGTTGATATTATTATATAATATAATATTATTGAGTTTTCAAATTAACATAATGTTTGAAAAGAATCGATTTGTAACAAAAAATTAAATCTCCATACAAAATATTAATTAAAAGTGTATTGAACCGCATTGATGTGTCGTGTCAACTGTAAGCTAATAGTTTATCCCTTTTTGCAAACATTCACTTACCTGCAGAAATATTGTAATGTGGTACAGCAATTTGCTTCACTTCTACGCAATGAATGAACAGCCCAGAATATATACTTTTCAATTGTTGCTTTTCTTGTGACATAGCTTACACGGTACACTTTGTATTCCACTTTTATAATAACATTTACCTCAAATATAATATCGCAATAAGTATGTCATATGTTTACTCAGTTTGTATATAATCAATTTCAAACTTTTGTACATATATATATAATAAGGTACTATGCTATGTAACGCTATGTAACTCTATTTATTATATTTGTTAAATGAGTACTCAATAAATGTGAATCAAAAATGCTTTTGATTGACCGCTTCTCGTCCCGCATGCTTATTATGTTTAATTTTATTTAGTTATTTAATATTTTATTTTGGGGGCCAGCTTCAGCAGCAGTTTAGCGACCCATTCTCAGCAGACCTTCAGGCGAACATCTCCTGACTAAAAAAACGCATTACCGGCCTGTACTGATCATTACAAGCCATGAACAGTTGGACAATAACAATCAAGTCGACTATTGCCTGTAAAGTGTACCATTTACATAATATATTTTAAAGTCGATACTAATTATGAACAGTTTACAAACTCGCACCAGTCTGTGCTGCCCACAGTTGTACCATGTACAGAGCAGAGCTGGCTAACCCGATTAACCCCTTTTATTTTTATTTATTTTTATTTAAATTGGTCCTATTCCCGTCCCGATAGTATGGGTGAGGGTTGGAGCGCGCTTCGCAAGACGGAGAGCGTGCCCCCGTGCGTTGGCGGGCGTATGGCGGCCGAGATGCGCGCGCGCTCGCAGCGCCCCCATGCCAAGGCCAACACCATCAACCTGCCGCCCACGCCCCCCGTGACACCTGCCACACCCGCCACCGCAGACCGTAACAAGCATGCTGTGGCGGTCAGCCCCACTTCGCCGCACGCCAATGTAAGTCACGGTCAGACTCTCTGTCCGCTCCGACATGGGTTACATACTAACTGCAACTATTAGTACTTAGGATTATTAAGAAAAGAGTAATATGAGATGGAAACAAGGTGTTCATAAGGAATCGTCCATTATTCAGATGCGTCTGGAATGGGGGCTAGGGTTTCTGAAAAAATTACAAGGATGGATGAGGCCAATGATGATGTAAATTTAAGGAATAAATTAATAGTATTTTCAAAATTTCAACATTATTTTGTTTTAAATATACAAGTGATTACACTTAGTAGGGGGAGATAAAGTTGCTAAAAATATTTTATCACGTGATCAATGGACAACCGCTAATTGACATTGATGGAATAACAAAATACGTTTTTCGTAAAAGTAAAAAAGAATTCAAAAGATTGTAGAAAGTTTAATTTACATAAAATCACTGTTGTATTGTAGTTGATGTAGGTAAAGCAATATCACTAAATTGAACACGATTTCATTGACATCGTCAAATTATTATATTTCAAGTGGTGGTGGTGCACGCGCACACGGATATATTATAACACTAAATTACTTACATATAAGTTAATAATAGTTATTTGTATGTTGAATGTTTTTGCTTACACAAAGTAGTCTTCAGAAAGGGACTAAAAGGAAATCATGGCTAAAGTCGGCAAGAAGGAAAGATACAAATTAAAATTTTAAACAAACATGTTATGTTAAGTTAAAAAATAACAAAGAATTGTTTTTACATAGAGTACTATATGATATGATAAAGGTACTGGTATTTCACAATGGTAGTAGGAAGGTTAACAGTTGAACAGAGAGTACGTGTACTATCCTCACGATATTGTCTACATTTGTCATAACAAGGAATGTATCTTTATTGTATTCTCTTAGATTTTTGTTTATAAAATAGACGGATGGATATTGATGATGTAAACATAGCGATGTTTCATTTTATGTTTGCTTTTTTATTCCTTCTCTCTTCTCTTCTTCTATAGAAAGTATTAGTTATACATAGTTAATATATTTTTAGCACATAATAGTGTTGCATATTGTTCACATTTCTTTTGCATGTGTATTTATTTTAACGCTTTTCAATATTTTTTGTTGTAGGTATGATATAGAGGGGCATGCATTTCTAACTTAGACTGTGATAGCGGCCAGCTTTCAACTCTCGGCAAGACTCTGAATGTGTTTTGTGATTTGCAATTATCGCCAAAGACGACTTCTTTTTTATTTATTGTAAATAGTTTAGTTATCAAATGGACGCGGAGTTTACGGGGTGGGGCGGGGCGGGGGCGTGCATGCAATGCTTGATGGCAGATTCGCTCGTGCGTTTCCAAAGTTCATCGATGTATGTGGCCCGCAGGGCTTATCGAAGCGAGCCTGGGGACTAAAATTACGTCGAGGCGGCAGCGCTGGCGGGGGGGAACCGAGCGCGGAGGGCGTGGTGACCGAGCTGCGCGCGCCGGAGCTACTCGAGCCCGCGGCGGACGTGACCGCGGCGCCCGGTTCGAGCGCGACCATCGCGTGCCGCGCGAATGCGACGCGCGCCACCGCCGCCTGGCGTAAGACTGCGCCCGAGACACGCGCACTGCGGCACGGCGGCCGCTTCGTGATCTCCTTCGCCGGCGACGGGCTGGCGACGCTGACGATCCACGCGTGCCGCGCCTCGGACGCCGGCGTCTACTGCTGCCTGGTGAGCAACGAGCTGGGCGGCGTGCAGAGCTCGGCGCGGCTGACGGTGGGCGCAGGCGGCGCGCCCGGCGTGCCCGCGGTACGCGCGCATCCCGGCGGCGGGCTTGTCGTGCAATGGGACGAACCGGCGCCCGCGCACCTCGAGTACTGCCGCATGGGCGAGGGCGAGTGGCGGCGCGCCACCGACACGCCTGCTGCTGCCGGTACTCTCGCCCTTGAGGAGTTGCCCGCGGGACAGTACAGCTTCAGGTTTTTTGTTGTTTTATCTTGATTTACCTCTTGTAGGCTACATTCATCATCTCACATATTACATTTATCAACAAATGTATTTATAATTCATCGATCCGTCTATAGATTGCAGCAGTGGGTTTATTAGAAATGTTAAATCTCACAATAAAACTCCTTTATAATTGGAAATGTTCATCTACGCTATAACTTAATATACACAATATCAATAAACGTTAATATGACGTTAGCTTTTTAGCTACATAGATTTTGTTACAGAAATTCTATTATTATTTTACATGAGAGGAAGTATAACAAGTAAAAGAAGTTAAATGTTTGTAAGAAAGCTAACTAAGGGTGTGATGTGGTGTGACAGGCTGGTGAGTGTGCGTGGCGGGGCCGCAGGCGGTGCGTCCGCTGCGGCGACGTGCGGCGGTGGCGGTGCCTGGCAGCGAGAACAGTTCGCTCGCCGCTACGCCATCGAGGAGGAGCTGGGCCGCGGGCGCACAGCGCGAGTGCTCGCCGCACGGGACACCGGCACCGGACACCGCGTCGCACTCAAGCAGGTCACTGCGCCATACGCACACCCATACGCACATCGCGTACGGAACGTTATAATGATATAGTGATGATGATGATGAGAGCGGATAATGCGATCGCAGGTGGTGGGTGGGCGCGGCGCGGACGCGGTGCGCGAGTACCGCATATTGTCGCGCGGCGCGCACGCGGCGGTGGTGCGCGCGCTGGCACTGTTCGCGGAGGTGCCGCGCGCGGGGGCGCATACGCTCGTATTGGAGCTGGTGGGCGGCGGGCCGCTGCTAGACTGGGCAGCCGCCGAGTCCCCCGGTGGCCCTCCGCGCTACACGCAGCGCGCTGTGGCACACCACACGCGCGCCCTGCTCTCCGCTCTCGACTGGCTCCATTGCAACGGAGTCGCGCACCTCGACGTTCGGGTTACTACTTTTGAAATAATTACACACCGTCAGCGCTGGACATTCGATGCCCGCGCTGGTAGGTGGCTTAACGCATGCGTACAGATGCGAGTACTTAAAATGGAGCATGGTGTCGTTCCGCAGCCGGAGAATATCCTGGTGGAGGTTGGGGGCGCGCAGCCGCAGCTCAAGTTGGTAGACCTGGGCTCCGCGGTGGAGACGGGCGGCGGCGGGGGCAGTTCGGACGCGGCGGGTTCAGCGCGTGATGTGCTGCCGCCCGCGCCTGCCCAGCTCGAATTCGCGCCGCCCGAGTGCGTGCTCGGCCGACCTCCCACCGCTGCCTGGGACGCCTGGGCCGCCGGCGTCTTCCTCTACGTATTCCTCACCGGGGTCCGTATCGGTGCACCGACTGTATACGCGCTTATGAAGTTGACTTCTATTAACTCTTACTTAAAAAAAACTCAATCTTCTTTACTGTTTAAAGATAGTATTACTATTAATTATTACTTGTTCACGCTGACATAAAATATTTTTGTATGATAGAATTGTAATATACTTATTAATATCGTTATGAATGAATGACCATTGCAGCTGTCGCCGTTCCTGGACGAGTCTATAGAGGAGACGACGGCGAACATCATCAAGTGCGACTACTGCTTCCCGGCGGAGCACTGGGCCGGCGTGGAGGAGGGGGCACGGACGCTCATCCGCGGCCTTCTGGCACCCGCGCCCGCGCAGCGCACGCGGCCGCGGGTCGCGCTCGATCACCCCTGGCTGCACGAGGTATGCTGCTCCCGCGAACGCTTACATGGCATTACTTAAAATTTATTGTAATAAAATAAAAACGAATGTAAACATTCAAGGCGCCGGCGACGCCGCTCTCCGCGAGTCGGCTGCAGACGTTCCTGGACCGGCGGCGACCGGCGGGGCACGGCAACGCGCTGCACTCGCTGCGCTCCCCGGATGACACGTGACGCCTCGCCCCCGCGCCCGCCCCCGCCTCTGCCTCCACCTCCACCCCCGTCACCGCACCCTCGGCTGCCACCACGCCCACCGCGACTGACCACTGCACACCATTTTCAAGTCTCGATGTGGCCACGGGGTGAAGCGTCGACATGTGTCCGTGAAATTATTCATAATACAGGAAGGCGAATACAACAGATACGTGAGCTGTGGGGGTGAAATTAGATTATAAACAGTTTACACAGAGGCGAGTCACTGCACGGAGAAAATAACGAATACATGCCTTTAAATCGCTCAAATCTTAAGAGCTTCTTTAGTCAAAAACGAAATTTCGGGTCGACCAGGGGAGGGTAGGGCTCGGCGAAGGAAGGAGAAGAGACCGCGCCGGTGTTCGCTTGTCGCAGTGGGACAGTTTGAGGGATCTCCTGTGCGGCAGAGTTCAGAAAAGTGTCTGTGATTTATGCTAATATAATATTTCTTGCTTATTCCTATTTTAATGTATTACTTTAATGATCATTATACTGTATATAATTTTTATATAACACTCTAGTTTTGTAATTGTCTATAGAGGGATGCATTCACGTTTGTACCGCCACCGTCACCGTCACCGTCACCGCCACCGCTACCGCCGCCGACATCTCAACGTGACGTCATCTTGCTAGGATTAAATGCTCTATCCATTGTACTTCTCTGGTCATAATGTGCCAATTGGGACTAAATATGTTAAGCGAAAGATGAAATATTACGAATTTGTCGATGATATAGTGGTCACGCAGTGCACGAGTACATACACTGCACCAAGAATATATAGGTAATGTAGTAACTAGACAAATATAGACAAATATTCTACTCGTGATATATAAAAGATTTATTGTTTTATGAAATTATTCGTAATAAAATAATATTTGCGTGTAGGATATTAGAGCCCTCACCGTGTTAAAATCAAAGAAATTTATCTTACCCCGCGACTAAATATTTTATTTTACTTGTCATCTTCATTTTTTAATTAATTCTCATGTTAAAATAATTTTACATATAAAACACTTTCTTTATCCATCTGTATCAAATGATGACAAAGCACAAATGATTTGTTATAAACGTAGCTATGACAGTGTGTGTAGTTAGTGCACGAGGCGTGACATTGCGTGGCACGCTGCAACACGCTATGGCACGTTGTGGCACGTCGTCTCGTCGTGCTCATTGTGAACAGAACAAGTACTAGATATGTACGTTTGTGTGCTGAGTAGTTCGCTCGCTATTCCAATGTATGTGTTAAGGCAATACTATATTTGTAAACATTGTAATAAAATATTGTAAGCTTTAAAACGACGATCAATATAATAAGATGATTCAGACTTGATTAATGTATTATTGTAGAAGTAAGTTTTGATATGTGTAGTGTTTGTTCATGTAGATATGTGGGCCGCCGCTCCACCGCTACCATCGCTCCACCGCACCATACATTATTATTTCATTTTAAATCATTATTATATTTGTATCCATTTTTTTTTATCGAAATAATGAATTAACGTCGTAATAATGTCGCGGCAAAATATCAAAATGTAATAAGTATGAATATTAAATACAATATAAATATACAATTTTGTGAAATATTCCATTTTTATTTACGTAAGTGAATGAATGACGTCACTTCACACAAAATAACACAAAGGAAAACCAAACTCATTAATAGATTTTATAATTTATTCATATAAATTTATTTTATTATTAAAAATAAACAGTTATATAAAAGAAACAAAACACTGAAATATAAAAAAAATGTAAGAATTAGTTGAAAAAAGAGAAAGCCTTAAAAATTAATATTTATCCAAAATAATTCTAAAGATGAACTAAATCACAAAAAATAACAGAGAAGCATTTTGTGTGCGCCTCAATGTGGCAATAAGATACTACACCTAATACTGATCAAATTAATTTATAAATCTTAATAAATTCCACTCGACCCTAACAAATAAAATAGCGAAATAATATTTATTTTTAAGCCGGCGGCAAACGGGACAAGTTAAATAATTCGATAATTAAAACAGTTCACAATTAAGCAATAGAAATAAAAATATCAATTTCTATGGCGCATATCAGAACAAGCATACATTTTTATAAAGAAAAAGTTAATTTATTTATTTGTTTACATCAGTCTCATATTGCATAAATATTTAGTGAAAATGTTAAAAAAATATCATCACATTGTATTTGCGAGTGTAATTTTAATGTAATTAGATATAATATAAAAAGTTATATGATATGATAACATCGTGCACTTTTACTAAATTATATTATTCATATTTAGCAATCTAATTTCAACATTTTTGTTGAAGCTGGTTTTTTTTTCATTATCTTGAAAGAATTCTAATCTCAAGGAAAATCAAAGTGAACCCGATTGTTCAAATTATATGTTTATCTGTCATTGATTTGACATGTCACTTGAGATGTTATAATACAACTGAATATTTTAACGATCTGAGTTCAGAAATTTCTAATTAACTATAATTCATACTAAATTTTGTACCCATTTAACTTTAAACGGTTACATTAACCTTTGTAAATAGGTCAAGAAAATGATTGATTTACTATAAAATACAAAAATTTCAAAAAGACACATAAAAGAGGCATTCGACGTGAGGCGGCGAGTGGCCGTGCGCTAAGAGTTCTCAGTTAGAAGTGTATGCCGGCCTGCACGCCGTGCATCAGTTTGGCGGAGGCGTGCAGGCGCGCGCGTTCCTCCGCAGTGAGCGGCTGGCGCACCACGTCCGCCACCCCGCCACGACCCAGCACGCACGGCAGCGACAGGAACACCTCCTGTTCCACCTCATGCTGGCCCTGCAAACAAACAAACCCATAATGACTTGTGCGGATGATTAAATCATTTGTGTCTAGGCTTGAGCACGGACCCTCATACACCCGGCATCGCTTCGGACTGACCTTGATGTACGTGGAGACGGGATGCACGCTGTTAGCGTTGGAGAGAACGGCACCGACGAGCTGGGACAGGGAGAGGCCGATGGCCCAAGAGGTGTACCCCTTGAGCTTGATGATCTCGTAGGCGCTTTCGACGACGAGCTGGTGCATGCGCCGCCACTGCTCCGGGTCCTGCTCGCCGCCGATCTGCGGGTTCAGATCGCTCAGCCGCACGCCCGCGATGTTCACTCCGGACCACACCGCAACTGATAACAGACAACATTGCTTTCAACTGACTGACTCAATGTTGCTACTTACATTTCACTAGAACTAAAATACATGTCGCTACTATACTGATGACGTCACGCACTCAATGTATAGGCGACTGCTCTCTTTGTCGCACTGCGGGTGCGCACTGAGGACAACTTCAACATTATTGAAAGATTAAGTTCTTTCGTAAAATGATAATGGAAATTAAATAAATGTTCCCATAACATACTTTGATTCAAAAACAGTGTCATTAACATCAAATGGTGAGCACATCGAGGTTGATCATAAAGAGACGCATCAAACACATTGCTCGCTGCTGGTACAGTGCCAAAAACGAATTGTGGTTTTTCTGATTGAAATTACGATAAAAGATTTTTTTACCAATTAAAATATTTCTAATTTTATACTTAATTTTCTCATAAACGTACCACAGGACATGATAATTAGGGTATTTGTGGTGGAGGTGAGAGCTCACCGCTGCTGTCGCCGTGCTCGCCAATGATGTATCCGTGGCAGGAGGTGGGCGCGATGCCCAGCTTCTCCGAGAGCAGGTATCGGAAGCGCGCCGAGTCAAGATTGGTGCCGGAGCCTAGGACGCGGTGGCGCGGCAGCCCGCTCAGTCGCCACGTCACCCACGTCAGAATGTCCACCGGGTTACTCGCTATTATAAACACCGCCTCGGGGCTGTACTTCACCAGCTACAAATTGGACAAAACTCTCTTCATTGCACGTAATTCTAATATATGTAATATTGGAATTATAAAAAAACAGTCGACCGAAATTTGACTTCATGATATTTCCCGTACATACGCAAATCATAACGGCGCAATACTGGTGGCTGAGAAATTGTTGTATCAGGACAATATTTTAAGTGTAAAATAAGGGAAGGGTGCGAGTAGGGGTGGTAGATATGGTGCAACATGAACCATTGTCGCTGCCTGATCCCCACCCTAACCCCCCGGCAACATTTACAACATGCGACCCACCTGGGGGATGATGATCTTGAGTACGTCGGTGTTACGCTGCACCAGGTCCAGCCGGGACTCGCCCTCGCGCTGACGCACGCCCGCCGTCACCACGCACACCTTTGACCCCGCAGTTATAGAGTAATCTGACAATCATATTCGAGTATATGTAACAAGTGAATAAGAAGAGAATTCTGTGACTAGATCCCCCATAAATGTGTATAGCGAGTACACCGCTATTGGGATCGTCTTATGCGATACACTGCGCTTATCGAATCAGTTTGCGAGTGAATAGTAAAATCGTCTTCTTGTGAACAGAAGGTAATGTGAAGTGAGTGCAGTAGTACCGGTGCTGGCGTTTATCCTGGCGTTCTTCATGAAAGCGCAGCCGTGCTGCAGGTCCAGCATCTCGCCGCGCAGCTTGTCCTCCATCACGTCCACCAGCGCGATGTTGTTGCTCACGCCCTTCAACGTACACGTACAACATGTCAGTCAGTGGTTGTATAGTTTGCACCTGACCACACCCTCCTACAGTCCGCAGATCAACTACAACATTACAAGTGACTGTTTACAACCGATTCTATCAAGCAGTTGATCAAATAAATATATCTAAGTCATTACTCATTTTAAGTATTATATATTAACAAAATTAAAATAAGATTCATATCATAAGTCGATAAGGAGAGCACAAGTCATATTTTTATAAGTAGACAAAAAAGAACATACTGACCAAGGAATGACAATTATGTATACTTTGTAAACAGGGTACGGTACATTGTCTACGACAAACGGTAAACACGCGTAGAAAATCTGTAGCACCTCAACAATGGCTGTTGTATAATAACATATACCTTATACTAAATGTATGATAACATTGTGTGCGAGCGTGAACGAATGTGTTCGTGAGAGATCTCATGCATGTGTCTATGTAAACAGGAAAATTAGTAGGTGGCGAGCGGCGCGCTCGGACTGAATCACTGGTTGACACCAAATGATGATGATGACCTCATGTCGGCATTATACATTATAGATCAAGCAATAATACATTTTTATATCTACTCTATCGCATTGCATTGGTTTGCCCACTGACAATTATAATTCCAATTCCTACTTTTAGCAATCCATTGATCGCATAAAAAAATATATAAAAATCGTACAAAATATGCTCGATCATTCATAATATTGTGTATAATACGGTAATTTTTTCTTAAACAATCTGAATAATTGGAATTTAGTTTACAAAATTTATTGTTTATTGTTATTTTATTTTTTAAGAATTTCTTACTACCATAAGATCTCGCCTAGCCCATCCAGACATCCGAGAAAACAGTACCTAAAAAATAAATGGACCCACGTTCCATTTTGAGAGAAACATTTGCGAACTTTTGGCAGAGATTCAATCAGAATTTTTATAATGGTCAGAGTAATTCGTGTTTTCTTTTTATTCACTCCTCGCCCAATAAATTACCGAGCTCTTTAAATTCTTGGAAGGTGCATTAATTTTGGTAAACGTAATGTTGAGCAATACATTAACCCTGATATAGCCTGCTACAATGTTTGACAAATAATTTCAAAAAGTTTTGATGCGGTATAGGAAAGTGTTGAGGTAAAGTGATGTCATTTAATAAGTAGTTAGGTGAAGTGCGGCCTCACTCGCGCTACGATACCATACGATACGATATCAGAGGACGTTTGCATTAAATATAAGTGTAGGTATCTGTTGCACATTTCTTGTACTAAAAGATTCGCTGCAAACGATGCGCGTAGCGTGGAGCGACACGGACTCCCAGTTGTCACACCGGTGCAAATTTCTTAATGCATAAATATTTTCGTAATGATTTTTTTAACGACCTAATAATTTTGGTGACCTTTCAATTGAATTACAAGAGCTTACTAAAAACATGATGTAAACAAAACACACCTGCAGCACTGTGAGACGGAGACATAGACTCTCTGCCTTGTGAGCCACTCGCTTTATGATACCTCTATATCTATATCCCTTTTATTTATTATTTCGTTACTAAGGAAGGTTACTAGAGGTTGAATTTTTTTGTACTGTTTCATATACCTACTGCTGCAACACTTCAATCAAAAAATGTTGTGTGTTTTTTTTCAAATAGAATAAGACTGATGACTAGATGTGTTTATAAAAATGTTTTTGTCTTGTAAAACCAGGGTAAATGAATTGTATTCAAGATGCAGAGTTGCGCAAATGACAAGGAGTTACCTGTGTCAGCATGGAGAAGACGGCCGCCATGCCGACCTGGCCGGTGCCCACCACCGTCACCTTGTTGCCCGTGTCGTCCGCCTTCGGGTGCATCGGGTGCAGCAGTCGCTCCACAGTCGCCATCTTGCCTGCGCCCGAACAACATACATGATCGATTACATTTCACTTTAATACATTTGAATAAGAATAATTATTGAACGAGTGTTAATCGTTAACCCGACAAAACAACACAATGTTTATGACAAACATTTTCCTTTTATTTTTGTAAAGAACACTTTATTGGCATATTATAAGTAAAAATCGGTTATAAATGTTTTTAATTTTATAAGAGAGTATTTGTACTTTTAGCTAATTATTTTAAAATTAGTGGATTATATTATTATTTACTTAGGAAAACGTGTCGTTTTGATGTTGATGTATCTTTATAAATAAATAAATACATATATTTAAATAAAAAATGAGATCACGCGGAATAGTTGCGAAGTTTGAAACGAACATCTGTGACAGTCGCAAAGCAAATGTTGTTTTATTAATTTTAATAGTACATACTAACATTTACATTTATACATAATATTTTTTATAACAAAAGGCACACGGAATATGTTTTGGTAAACACAGCCTATACTTTTTGGAATTTCATTAAACTATTCAAAATAACTGAAACGGGGCACAATACCGCAAGGGCACTCAATGTCACGGACGACACACACGTCCGTCCTATCATTGCCATGGATTGACCGGGACAACGAAAGACGGCGTTAGTGTTGCGAAATACCATTCAATTTCGCCCCTAATTCATACCACTGTGACAAACCAATATTTTAAATACCTAATCATTCGTAACACGGCTTCAACATATACGGACGAAACTGCCGCTTAAGCCTATTCCCAATTTTTTTATTTTATCACGATGGGTTTATTTTAGTGTATTTTACATAAAAAACAAAAAAGAAAAAACTTGGCTAGATCGCTAGTAAAGCTTTACGCAAATAAACGTTACCAAGCACTTTAATGCTTTTTGCATTTTTTAAAAGATTAAAAAAAATAGTTTACTAAAAAGAGGTTTCAAACATAAAAACTGATCTCCTGTAAAGTCCTATTTTCCCTTTGGGTCTTTTTTCTTCTTTCACTCCGATTTGTCATATCAAAACAAAAGCTGCCACAAGGAGGTGGCGACCACACTTGTGTGATCAGGAATATATCAGCAGGAGCAAATAATTATAGAATAGAAAATAAGAGCACGACATATCGTACGTACCTATAATGTAATTTTAAACTAGTACTAAAACTTAACTTGCTAACACAGCAAGCATATAAATAAGAAAGAAGCAGACAGCTTCCATAGAAATGCACAGACCTACTCGTATATATACATACATACATACATACATACATGGAGAAGTTTTATGATTCCATAAGAGATTATTTTAACAACTACAACCTTTGAAGTGTAATTTTCTTACTTTACAAAATCAGCACGATTTAATTAAAGTGACTATAAATCTTTATGCAATCATAAACGTTATCAAACATTAATTAGTAAGTCGCTTTGGAATTTATAAAATAAAGCTCGGTTAGACAATTAGTTATTCGTACAAACAGGTTAAATATATTAACGATTTAATAAAGAAGATAAATAATAGATATTTAAATAAAATAAAACTTTCACAAATAACAAATCAAATAAATGGAATTTTATTGACTTTACCTTTAACAATATAAGTACTAATTCATAATTTAAAACACGATGCATAGAAGTACTAACCGTTTGTAAACCAATTGTTTTCAGCGTTTTCGGACATCTTCTACGCGGAAAAAAACAGATGTCACTTCGCAGAATTAGGGATGCGTTAAACAATGTAGGTAACGAGTTATTGTAAGCGTATTGTTTGGTTTGGTCAAGGCGTCGCGTCGCCGGAGAGCGGATCGTCGTCGCGTCTTACCGCGTCCGCAAACAAGCACTGAATGAAACTTCCGAACCGGTCCTTGTAAATATATGAGGCGCTAGTTCCGATAGCGAACACCTACTACACTGCTGTCGACAGGGGAATGGAATAACTACATTTCATCTTTCAGGACATGATCATAGCGATCAGTCCAAATTTAGATATGTATTTGTCCTCAATGATATTGTACAAAACGTCGACGGGTACGAGTACGAGCCACCCAAACTCAGCATCTCGTCGTGTCGAGGACTCGTGGCGGAGCTTTGAGCTAGTACGCGTTTTAGAGGACGCTCTAAAGCTCTGGACTGGGATATTTAGGACCTTTATTGCATAGAAGAGCAACACCATATGATTTTTATCGTATTTATTAATCGTTGCTACTTTTTAAAAACAAAATTATGATGATAAAGATAATTTACGATGTTTGGTGAAGAGAATGAGCTTGGCTATGACTTCAGCGACATCGATCGCGGTCCTCTGGCGCCCTCGCTATACGTATAAAGCATTATTAGCTAAATGTACACATTGCATCACCTCCACAATCTCAGAAAATGGATACGGATATTCATCTGTGTAAAATGCAATTTCGTCAAAAATATGAAAGTTTCATAAAGGTTAAAAATGTACGAATAGGGTTAGTTTAGAGGTTGTTGCTACATTTATAAAGAAAATATAAAAAGGTGTGCTAGCAGCGCGCCAAATTGTAATCTGTTATCTCAGCCATCCCCTGTCGGTTATGTTTATATTTTTGTTTCCATGGAAAGCTCGATAAACATTGTTTACTAAGATATGAATCAAGAGAACTTGACTGACAAAATCTCCCTAAAAGCTGAGGCTTCCTGAAGACCCACGAGTCGGATACACATGAATTTACAAATAAGATCATTTTAAAACAATAGTGTATTGGTCATACTTATTTAGGCACTCGAAAGCGTTTTTGCCGCCGCGCGCTCCTTTCTAAACAAACTTATTGAAATAATCACTCATTTGAGCAGATAAAAGTTCCAAAGCTTTGTAACTTAAGCTTTGTAAGTTGACTTTCAATTATTTACTGGAGTTGTTCTGAAGGATGTGTGACGTTGCATGTAATTATTGTGTAGATTTACACAAGTACTTACAGAAGCAGTGAAGCCGTGCCAGCGGTCACGTACAGCGAGCAGAGCAGACGAGGTAGGAGCACACAGCGTGGAGCGGTGTCAGCGTACGGCGCGACGCGGCGAGTGCGATGCCGAAGCCGCCGCCGCCGGCGTGGCCACTCGCACGCTCAAGGTGACCTTCAACTGCCTCACAACTCACAAGCCGTTTTGGAAGCGACGCCATCGCGCATGTACGAATTCAAATATACAATTACTGAAATATACGCCTTAATGTTTTCGAATTAAGATTTATTATTGTACGATAATCGTTCCTATGATAAAGGACTATTTTATTTACATTGCATTGACATTCATTTTGATACTTTGATTTGATAACATGAATGTTTGAAAAGTTCACATTGTATTGGTGTAAAATAGCAAAGAATTATAGGTAATCGACAATCAGAGGGACAAAGTTCCATTTCAAGGTTGTATTTCTAGTATTATTGTTGGTTTCGCGAATTCTTTGCAAATAAAACGCTAGTTACTTGTGGCTGTTGTATAAAACAGTAAAATACACCTTGCAAGATACAAGACGTGGGTAACGCACTTGTGTTATAGTAGTAAAGTAACAAGATGCCGCAGATTACACAAAACAATTTTCAATAGCCTAATGTTGAAGGCTAAGAGCGCAAACGAATTAGAAGGATACAAGATATCGTCGGACATCTGAGCAAAGTGTTGAATACTCACCATATAAAAGTTCGTTCCATCCTAGGTGGGTAAACCACATTAAGTATGTTTTAACGGAGGTAGTTTATAGGTTGTGTACTTAGGTGGGATGTGATCTGTCCCGTGTTACCATTCACAACATCAAACATTTTGATAAGTCGTTTGAGTATGGAGGAGAAGGGTTGTTTTGTTTTAGCTAAAGCTAAAGAGTGACAAGTTGAACGTCGTCCTTTCATGTTTCGTCGGCCACAGCTCAGAGCCGCCCCGGCTATACAAATCATCATGCAATCGAAAAAGTAATGACGCAATACGTAATGTAACAATGAATCGTGTAAATGCTACAAAATCGCAGCGCCTTTTTTTCGCTTCCTGTTTATGTTTACCGCTGTATTAGCCCATTAAAAATGTTTTCAGAGTACAACCCTCAAGGTAATTAGTAAGTTATAAATGATTTTACTACGTTTGCGAAACTGAACACAACGTACTGATTAAAAAATGTGTGACAGATGT